TCGTCACGCTGGCAAAGGTAAAGCTAAGGAATGTGTCCTCTTTGAGCATCTGTCGGAAGTTGTCTGCCATTGGCCGACGTGTCCTGTCAATCGAATCTGTAGGAACATTTCAAGGTATGTCTGTTCTTTTCTCATTTGTTAAAAAAAAACACCAGTAAAAGATGTTACAGAAGTGATGTTATGACTATGATAGTAAAAAAATCTAAAAACCCATATTGAAGTGACAGTTGAGTTTTTATTTGTTGTGTAAAGTCATAACCTGTTGAAAAACCAAAACAACATAATGTTAATTTGCAGATGGCTTGGAAACATCTTGTGGAATTCATGAACAACAACTGAAAGCCAAGAGGCAGTTTCACGAACAGAATCCGGTTAGTGGTTTGTCCAGCATAGAGGACCTCAGTCCTGATCTGAGCAACACTGAGCACATCGTCCGATCACAGAGAGAGGAGCATATGTTTGACTTGCGCTTGGACAGCAGGTCTCAGAACAGTTCCCCTGTTAGGAGGCGCATACAGGAACAGGGTGGGAGGACCAGAGGAGTGCTCAACCGCTCCAGTTCCGTCCCTGATTCCAACAATCCGCCGCCAATCCAGCCTCAACTGGTTGACCTGAATGCAACTGTAACTGACCTTACGGAAATAGGCTCAGAGGAATTTCCTGTCAATGTGATCATCAAGAGTATGATGGCTCGCAAGAGCAGACACAGCCATCTTTCGGACCGTGAAGAACATGATTGTTCAGCGAAAGATGGGTGTGGTGAGACCGGGGGGTTGCTGGGATTTTCGCCTGATAAGAACCACAACATTCCCCAATCATTCCCTGGCTGTGCACAGGACCCAGAAAGTGCCCTCTTGAACAGAATTTTCAACGGGAATGCCCCTACTGACTCTGTGTATAATGAGACCTCAGTAAAGAGCATACTCTATACCAGCAATCACATGACCAAAAGCATGCTGTGCCTCAATGAAGAAACTCAGGATGAAGTAAGTATCCAAGTAAAATATTAATTATTTATCATCAGCAGTAATGTAGTGATATAATTATTAGTATTATATTACTGTTGTATTATACTGATATAGTAATACATTTTTATTTTTTTGTGATTAGGCTAATATAGTTAAAATAACTCCACATCAACAGGATGTTTTGTTTGAAAGCTGAGATTCAGACTATGCTTTTCTGAAAAGAATTTCTCGGTCAGCGGTGGTGGATCTGGAGTGAATTACGAGTTGTATGTTTTTATGTGTGCCTGTGTGTGGGTGTCTTCCAGTGGATCTCCCTGAAGGAGCTGCTCTCTCATAGCTATCAGCCTTTGTCAGTGAACGAGCTCTGGGGCCTGTGTTACATATGTCTGTCTACACTGCAGACTTACATTGACTACCCAGGTGGGGTCTTTCTCCTGGCTCACAAGAAAGCTATCTAAACACTCCCCAATACCAGCCATGCTTCTTTTGTTTATTTAACAGCATTAGAAAATGCAAGCACAAAAACTTTGTGCGTAATATACTGTTGCCATTACATGTTAGCTAAGTAAACATGTTCTTTCTTCTTTATTTTTGTCTTTAATGAATATTATGACTAATAGCTGTAGAAATGTGATTTTAGGTGCCATGAAAGTCCTGGCATCAAAGTAGTATGGTTATTGTTCAGACAGCTTAGATGTTCTTATCACAACATATGAAGGTTCACACCCCACAGGGGGCTTTCTGGTTAAATAAGAGATGATACCTTAAATGTGTAATTTGTAAATAATTCTTTGTATTCTGGATGCAAATATGTGCTATTTTTTGTTCTGTGTGCACAGCCTATTTATGCCTGGAATCTGTTTACATCAGCTGTGAAGGGGAGATGCTGTTTCTGAAAACTAAAAACACAGGTGCAATTGCTGTCTCCAGGCTTCAGTCATTATTGTGTAACATTTCTGCTGTAGCATTTATTGTGTAAGAGAGCTGGGATGCGCCTCAGTACAGTAATTTGCAGTTGTCTCCCAAAAAAAACCTTGTTTAGTTATGTAAGAATATGTTATTTATTTCACATAACTTTTAGATGCTTATTACTTTTTTGGTGAGGGTTTTCTTGAGAAGCGTGACATTATGGTTTTTAGAGCCCCATCTGTCTTTCATTTGCCTGTTTAGGATCCTGTGATGCCTTTTATCTGGCACCAGAATTCCAAGAACATGGAATTGTTACAGAAAAGGTTAATCCTGCATGTGTTATAGTTTATTTTCCTTAGTCTTTATATTACATTGTATTACCAATATATGGCTTGGTGAATATATGGCTTTGGTGAATATTTTTTGTTTTTGAACAGGCCTGCGTTTACGGGGTTGCAGCTATCCTTTGGTCCACGGCCAAGTTCAACTTATCACCCAACCAAAAATTAGCAATGCCAAGAAAACTGAAAAGACTGCTACTGGAAATGGCAAAGAGAACTCCTATTGAGAGGCCGTCAATCGTGGCAGCAAAAAAGGTATGAGTTATTGACCCCAGAATTATTCATTCCTGAAGGCAGAATCAGCATACATGTTTAGTCATTCGTAAGTAGTCAGTATGTCATTATAATCCTCTTTGAAAATTTATGAAAATGAAAGTCATTGAAAGGATAGTGTGTAAATCAGTTTGTAAATCGTCCTCCCGTTAATGTTTTTTAATGAAACTTAATCAGTTATGTGTGAATGATGTGCTTTATTTTCTTCACAAAAGTGAAGAGATTATATGTGTCTCACTATTAACCATTTTGATTTCTTTTGTCTTATACTGTCATGGCTCTGTTTGCATTACCCATGAATCGCAGCCTGTGTGCTCAGGTACTTCATAGAGCTGTTCTGATTACCTACATGCCTCGCTCCTTTACAGAGCTGTCGGGATTACCTGCTACGCCAGCGTACCACTCCTGAGGAAGTTTGGGCAAAGTTAATCAACAGGCTTTGCAAGGTTGGCTTTGTGTATTATTTTCTGCCATTTAGCCTATAATCCATTTGAGCAGCACATTTCAGCTATTCAGGCTCACTTGTATGCCAGAATATCTGGATTAAATTAAGACAAGTATATCAGACTGCAATGTACAGTTGAAATAGTTGAGAATATTTGTCGTTGAAGGAAGGAAAGACCATATTGAAACACTTTTACAATGGGAAACATTATTGAAATTTGTGTTAAAGCCAGTTTCGTGTAGGATTTCATTTTTATCTGCCAATTTGCCTTAAATAATTTTGTCTCTGGAGTAACTGGAGAAAAGACCAGCTGTTCTCCCTGTATAGTGATGCACTGCCCTCTTTTGTCTGATCAGGGAAATGTTTCTAAAATAAGGAAATAATGTATAGACTGAATGATGTTCTTCTTGTATTTTGCAATCACAGTCAGACCACTGGAATAAGAATATAGGTTCTCCAAGGATTTTGGACACTAAGAAAAGGTCTGATATAAAAGTGTCTTCAAACAGCAAGATGGGTATGTTTCTTTGATTAAAATTTCACCAGTGGCCTGTACTACAAAGCGGGGTTACTGGCTTATCGGGATAACTTGTAAGATTTAAGGTACCACAATTTAAATGGACTTCATATTCTTTCACTTACATTTTGCCCAGACTACCTTAAATCCGACATATAAGCCAGTAACCCCGCTTCGCAGTACAGGCCCTAGGTCAGTGTACCCTTCTGGTATGACTGCATTACTTTAAGAAGACTAATTTAAGAATTCATGAGTAAGTTTACACAGTGAATTGTGTTTTTAGATGTAATTTGCAGGTGTATATGCTCACTTTAAGTTGATAAATGGGGCTGATGATTCATAATAATTGATTTTGCTGCACGAATGGTGTCATTGTATTTTTGGTTGTTATTTACATGTGACTACGCAGGGTTTGCACCTATGACTGGAAGGGACAAGCTGTCTCCTGTCCAGGGACCTATTCCAAAGCAATACTGTGCCACCACAGCCTCCTCTCTCCCCGATGCCTTCACATCTTCTGCCACGCATTTCAAACCCATTGTACTTGCCCAAGATGGAACTACTACAAGGGAGACCCTGACCCAGCAAGGAACTGGGGGGTAAACATTTCTCAATATCAGTATTAATCGGAGAATGCTTAGAGCTATGATGTTAACTCATCCAACATCGGTAGTAAATTGAGACATTGAGGATAAGAAAATTCAGAAAACGTATACAATCAAAACTAGAATATTTTTTAGACATGAATAGATAGAGATTCATAAAGAGATGTGCAAAGAGATTAACAATGTACTTAAGCATACAAATATTTTCAAACAGTATAGAACATTAAATTAGGCTCATTGATAGGTACTGGTGTAAACTGAATTCAAATTTTAACTTGTGATGTAAACTAAAAATCTAGACATTTCAACACTTTGCAGTCTTCATTTGCAATCTGCACTTGCAATTTATCAATCTGCATTTTTTACAGGAAAAGTGAGAATGGCAGTAACAATCATCTGAAAGCCAAACCCGAACACAAAGACAATGCACTTATGGAGTATGTGCCACGGGTTCCAAAGGAAGATGCCATTTATCTTGGCTCCCAGGAGAGTGTTTGTTTACCAGAATCATCCACTTCCTCCAGTGGAAAGATGTTAGTCAACAGCCCATCACTGACAACAGCACAACATACTGAATGCGAGGGTCAGACTCTTCCTCATCACTGCAGCAGTACATCTGCTTTCTCCACCAATCAGGTCACTGGCAGCATGTACAACAGCTACCTCCTGAGGCAAGACCCCAAAACGGGGCTGCTGACATTGTTCCCTGTGCACATTGCTGCCCCAGAGCCCATTCCTGGCCTGAACATCAACATCCCCCCACTATCAGCCGTAGCTAGTGAGCTCGTCTTGAGCTCTGTGGATCAGGGGGCCCCTAAGACATCAGCAGGAAGCTGGAGATCACCTGCTGCACAGAATGCTGAAGCATCTCTCACGCCGCTGGCTTCACCACAGATGGACAGGGTCCCGAAGCACAAGGACTCTGGCGGAGAAGGTGGCAGAGAACAGTCCCTAAGAAGTTTGGCTCAGTCTCCTGCAGAACAGCCTCTTTCAACCCAGGTCCATCCCTCTCTACAGGCGGTCATGAACCTCATTAGAGCAGAGTTTGGCTTCGACAGCTATCTGGAAAATGGAGCAGAGGACCTCAAAATGGGTTAATGTCATGTCATCTGGAAAGTTTTTGTATTCTTCTAACATTATGAAGTCATAAATACCAGAACGATTGTATCACCCTTCTGTAGTTATTTCTTGTAGATAAAGTACAGTCAGAATGGGGCTAGTAAGAGGTTGTTAATCAAGCTTATTTTCTTTGCATTTGGATGCTAATATTTCCATCCTGTGTTTAGTTTTCATAACCTGGAAGGATAAAAATGATCTCAGTGTAATTCCAGTTACAAAAAATAGAGTCCCAAATTTGTTTGAACTGTATTTTTTCAGTGATTTAATTTGCTTTTTTTTGTCTATTACAAGGGGAGTATATATTCTCTCTAAGAGACCTCCAGTATGATACGTTTTGCAGTGCTGTTTCTGAAAAATTCTTGGATTTCTGCTGGAATGAGAAATTACTAGAAGCACTTTACAACGTGGTGAACAGAAAGCAGACCTCTTTGTACGTATGCATTTTGTCCAGGATATATTAATTCAGCAACAGTGTTGCCCCTTCAAGAATTTTCTTCAATTTTATATGCATTGGCATTGTTTTGTTATAAACATTATATAGTGGATTACCTTGGAATTTACATAGGTTTAGCCAAAAATGTATTTTACCCTTTTCTTAACCTCCTTTGCCAATGCGGTTGAATGGTTTTAGAGCTGCATATGTGCTACAGTGGTGGTCAGTGGTGGCTTGATAGTTAGGGTAGCGCACTTGTAATTGAAAGATTGCAGGTTCGAATCCCCCACCAGCAAGTCACCACTGAGGTACCCTGAGCAAGGTACCGTCCCCAAGCACTGCTCCCCGGGCGCTGAATTAGCTGCCTCCTGCTATGTCACGAAAGTCACATATGGGTCAAATGCAGAGGTCACATTTCGTTGTTGCGCACTGTGTGCTGTGGTGTGTTGACAATGACCACTGATCACTAAATTCTAAAATTCTACATTGACTAATTAATTCATTGAACTCAGTAAAAACCAGGACCTTGGGCCAAGGACAAAAGACAGTTGTGAGTTTGTCAAGGTAACCATAGTTTTGCTTCTGATTGTAGGTCAGATTGGGTACAGAAAAATATATCCTTAAATGACTGCAAGCAAAAGTCACTACCTAAAAGAACAACATTCTAGCCTCATAAGTGTTCACTGCGAAGATAAAATGTAAATAGTATTTTAATTATACAAATAATAATACATTTTGATGTGTGTTTGACAATGTCAGTGATATGTCAATTACGACTTATTTTAAAGCTTATCCCAGTTCAGGATGTTTATTCCGAGATTTATTCAGCTGTCACCAAAGTTTATGACAAGTCAATGATTGTTTTTGCTAGGTTGTTGGAGGGGGGTGGGGGGTGGGATGGTTGTCTATGTGTCATAAAAATCAACCAAATCAGATTACTGACAGATTTCACCAAAAGGTTATTTTTATTTTTAACAGCAGGAATCCTACCTTTTTATACTGAATTAAACATATCTGTAATGTGGCCTGCATGCTACAGTATAGGGAGATTTATTTTATTAAAAATTGCTGTAGATTCATCTTCCATTTAGGATTTTGATAACAAAATACAGTCATGGGAAGTGTCAAAATGTTTGAAAGAAAAAAAAAACGATTAATAATTATTGCAATAATAATGAATAAGCAGTAATTATTATTTTAAGATTTCTTAGCTTTATATTTCTGTTTTTTCACCACATATTCTTTTGTTTCAGGCTTATATTTGTGCAAGAACGTTTTGCGGCAACACATTTCTGAAATACAGTGAATTTTATGTGACTGAATGAACTGTTTTTCTATGGTGCTACACAGGTCTGCTTGGAGCTCTACAATCCGACCTGTCTCTAATGTTCAGCCTTCATCAAAGGTAGCAGAAAGGGCAGCTACCTCACCCCAGGGTGGAGAGCACAGCACTGCAGTGCAAGCATGGGAGCCGAATCACGTGAGCTCAGACAGAGACAACCATGCAAACACAGGAAAGATTCTCAGAAGGTCGCTCAGTGCACCTGAGCCCCAATCTTCCTGTGCAACTGTAGAAAAACCAGAGGAACTTCATCAAGATGTCAACATAGGTTAGAGATTTCTGTCCTTATGCCTCTGGCAGCAGAAATACAGTTTAGTTTTCCTTTTAAATATACATTTAAAGGCTGTTTCCAGACTCCTTTCAATCTGAGAATTTGATATTTTCACTGAATAGCTACAGAATATCAGTGACCTGTAACAGATTTTTTTTTTTCATTTTTGGTCTGATAATTCTAAAGGTCTGTTGTACACCCTTGCTTTAAATTACAAAATAATGCATGAATATTACATTTGGTGTATTGTTTATTAGTTATGTCTAAATGTTTTTTTGTTGTAATATTTGTTCGATATCTAAATCAATATTATATACATGTGCTATGTATAAGAGGCCAAATTTAAATGGTGACGGACCTAGTTATGACAGGCACTGTGCATTGAGGACAGTCAGAAGCAAACTGAGGTCATGATGCTTCCCTCAGCAGGAGATAGTTGCCATAGAAACAGACAGCAGAGACAGAAAAGTTCCTGTCCTGCTTTGCACACACATAGAACTATTGAAGGCCAGCAGCGAGTTTTTATATCTGAAATTGTTTTTCTTCATTCAGCTATAGGCAATACTTCTCTATCTGCTCCTGTGGAAGGAATGAAAGGTGGAGAAGTGGCCACAGGAGACGCAGACTTCAATGAAAATTCTGTGGGTGTCGCTGATGAAATTCCCCCCAACACTGAGCCCTCATGGTGGATGGGAGGGGCAGAGGGAGACCTTGGGAGGGGCTGTCATGACCAGCGGAGTCTGGACTTCTCAGAGGACATGGAGGATATGGAGTCCCTGACATGGGATGGGTGCCCTCTGTCTGCTGTTGGGGAGCTTGATGGACACGGCTGCAGTCCTGGCTGGGCTTTAGCTTTCTATGGGGGCGACTACTTCAGACAGGATGTGCTAAATTATGTGAAGAAGCTCGGCCAACACAGCGAGGAACCGTGTATAGAGACCAAACAACAGGTGGGTCTTTGGTGCAAGTATATTTTGTATCAAACAAATATATAAATGATATGGAAGTTATTACTCTGCTCTTTGAATCACATACTTTTTGGGTGAAATACTGTTAGTTGACATGTAGTGAAATGGTTCTGTTATTATTATTATTTGATTTCATATTTTATGGCTGTTGGCTTTTTTCCTAATCCTAATTTTCAAAATTCATTTTATGCTAACTAAATTGAAAGGACCAGTCTTTCTTAGAACAAGATTTTAAACAGGTACGTTTAAGTAAAAATATTCACGTTTTTACTTATAAACTGGTTCAGTCATCTACAATATGCTTACATCAATTAAATGTCCTGTCTGCTTATACTTTTTTGTTAAATTTCAGATGATCAAATAAAAACTCCATTTGGCATCAGTTTTGTTGTAGTGATGAAAGTTAACGTTTATGTGTAAGATCTGGATTTCAGGTTATATTATCGATATTAGCAGTATTACTATACTATATACATATTTCATGAAACTTTTTCCTCCCAAAAATCTATTATTTTTTAGAACTATTTAGTAGAGCAGTAGTTACGGGCAATATGGTGGTTAGCACTGATATTGCTTCTCACCTGGTTTTGGGGGTTTGAATCCCACCTCTTATCTGTGTGTGACCTGAATGATTCTATTCTCATATCCATCTCTATTGCGTATCCATATTCCGTAGCTGCTTATGCTGTACATGATAACAGGGAGCACATTCTCCTGAGGTTTGCTGAGGTTACCCCACTTTCCTCATGCTGTCCACAGACATCCAGTTAGACTAATTGGTATCCCATCCTCACCCTGCCTTCTGCCCTGTACTGCCTGTAAAAGGGCCCCTGCAACCCTGTCTCCTATATGCAGTTGGAGGATGGATGGATGGATGGATGGGTCTATATAAAGAATAAGCAGAATAATTGCAAAAGAATGACTGGAAACTATGCCCTGCATTCACATATTTTTAAGTAGAAAACAGGTTTGACTATTTTCTAATAAAGCTGCTAAATAAAAAGACACAATTTGTTCATTATCTCTCAGTTGAATATTAATTACACCCTTTTCTTTGTGATCGTTTTGATGATGTTGAAGTTTGCCTTTGCCTCCGTCACTTACATGGTCAGACCAGGCTTCCTTTAGCTATTGCCTAGCTTTACTTCAAATGAGGTATTGATTTCTGTAACCATGGTGATGGACGCAATGGCTGAAATGCCACAGTAATGAATAGCTCTGGTTACAACTGTTACCATACCATTTCATTTACTTGTAACGTTTCATTTTCCTTTTTGCATTTTTTTTGCTTACTAAGATTGCATTGTAAGCAAGTATTTTAAAGATTTGAAATATGCGTATTATTGTATACAGGAACTTCATCAGCAGCTTATGATAGAGACGAGGAATCTGAAAAAGACGAGAAATTTCTACCAAAAGCTGATGCATCAAGAGAGGAAAAATAAAGGTAAATGAACTGACTGGAAAGGAAAATGGCATGCATTGAGCAGGCAATGTTCTCAACTATGTTTTCTTCACAAAGGTTCAGATGCCAAAACCATGCTGTCTAAACTCCAAGGTCAGCTTGAGGAGATGCAATCCAAAGTAGAGTTTTTGGACTCTGTGAAGAAATACCTTGAGGTGAGGGGTGACCAAATGTATCTCCCATTAGAAAGATAATTGATTGAATAATTAATTTCATTAATTAAATGCATGCATTGTTCCATCCATCTATTCATCCATTTTTAAATGTCTTTCTATTTGCTACTGTGATACCTAAATTTCCTGGGGATTAATAAAGTATCTGTCTGTCTGCCTGTCTGTCTGTCTGCAAGTACCGTATGTCTGTCTATCTGCCTCTCTGTCTGGAATTGTATACTTTGGGTTAATGAGCTAATTAAGATGTGATTTGTGCTTCACCCAGCTGAGAAGGTATTATATAACTATGCTAAACTAATATTAAGCTAATTCATTTTGGAACTTCACAGGTTTTGTGTATGGACAACTGGGGTGTGGAGACCCCCCTCTTGCCCTCACTGGCGGCCCATGAAGATGCCCCCCTAGTGCTGATGCCCTCTGAAGGCCCCTCTGTACTTTGCCTGCAGTCAGCAGTGGGTCGAGGAAGAAGCACCCAGACTGGAATTAGCCCTCTGCTGGCTGGAACCCCCCTGGGCCTCATGTCGTATCTGTACAGCAGGTAAGTGTGTGTTTCGAGGGGGTCTTTCCGTGTGCTTCTGTTTGAATTTAACTGCATACATTGTTAATTCAGAATGTACAGTAAGCCAGCTGTCTCAATTCAAAAGTTAAATTTATCATAGATTGTTATCATCTAACACTGAATTTTAATATGGGATAAGTAGAATTATATGGCGGCACAGTGGTTCTATGAGTAGCACTGTAGCCTCACACTTCCAAGGTTGTAGGTTTGAATCCTTAATCCTTACCCAAAACATGTGGTTAACTGAACTGGTGTCTCTAAATTTCCCTTAGTGTGTGTGTGTGTGTCCTGTGATGGCCCTGAACATCCTGGGTGAAAGTTTGACAATTCCCAGAAACAAATCAAATGGTTTTGTGATGAAGTCATCAAAAGGGATCTATATTCTAACTGGTTGTTAAATGAGCTAAATGAAGGCAAATTGTGTTTCAAATGGTTTTTCATTTTGAGAGTTTTGCAGAAAGAAATTCACTTGTACACTGGAATATAGTCATACTTTGTCTGCCTGAATTACTTGTAGAGTGCCTAGTGATGTTACAAATGAGACATCTAAATTTTATATAAAAATTATTTTAACTGTCAAAGCTGCATCTCTCCTACTAATAAAATGCTTTTTTTTGGATCAGATTTATTTTGTGCCAACTTTTTATTAGGCTCTGGGAATCACTATACAGCTGATAAAACCTCAATCCATCCGCTGAAATATTCCCTTATTTCTCTCTGAGGATCAATATTGTACCATCATATCTACTAATCTCATTTCATCTCACAAGCATCCATTACTAACAAAAGATGAATCAAAAGCAAAATACATCCATTTAGAAGTTTAAGCAGCAGATATGACCACATACAAAGGCAACAAATTAATTTGCGAGACACAAAGGGTGCAGAGGGAGTTTTTATAAGACAAAGGTGAAAATTAATATATATACTTTGACAAGAGTCAAATCATTATTGTTAGATAACTTGGTCAAAGCATCTCCAAAACGGCAAGGTTTGTGGGGTGCTCATGGTCACGGTTCATGGTGAATACGCACTTGGAGTAGCCCTTGGAGAGAAGAACCACGATGCACTGACGGTGCTGGGCATGCATTGCTCTGTGTGTCATGACACATTACTCCTGCGACCAAGACAACAAAAAAATTACGAGAAAAAAATAGTAACGAGAAACAACTTTTGGTATATATATATATATATATAAAGCATGGCCTTTGTGAAGTTCTTTAGGATGGAGATAATGACTAAGAATCTGCATGGAGTAGCTGCATGACTAATTGCCTTCCCTGGTAAGAGAGGCCCTTGTGCTTATCTTCTACTGCCCAACTTATTCGAACAGCAAAAATACATCTTGGGACCAAAAGGCACCACACATCCTTCCCACATTTCTTCTCACCTGCACACAAAAAAATATTGTTTATTTTCGTATTCAGATGACATGAATTTTAGCTATGAAATGCTAGTTAACAAATATCAGCATCATAAATTTTATCATTGTCTCTCATAGAAATGCATACCTTGAAGGCTACGTCCAACAGTTCCTGTATACCTATCGTTACTTCTGCACCCCAAAAGAATTTCTACAGTTTCTGATGAATAAACTGAGAAGTACAGCTGGGTAAGATTAAGTATGATAAACATTTATTTTGATATTTTGGTGTTATGGACTGCACTTTTGATTGTGAGTTTTCACCCAGCCAGGAAGCCTCCACTGTTCAAATGAAGGTATACCACCGGAGTCTGGACCTACTGCACAGCTGGTTGGAAAACTGCCGACAGCTGGACTTTCCCCCAAAGTCTAGCCTTATGCAGACTTTAGAGGACTTTCTCACTAGGGAGGTGGGTGTAAATACTGTGGACTATGCAACACAAAACATTAAATAAATCACTTTAATGTAGCGGAAGATTGTGTTTATTATTATTATTATTATTATTATTATTATTATTATTATTATTACTATTGTTGTTGGTGTTATTATTATTATTATTTCTATTATTATTATTGTTGCTGTTGTTTTTAATTGTTGTTATTATTATTATATTATAAATGCCTTAATATGCTTATGACTAAAAATTATTTTTGCATAGATTCAACATAATACTCCGAATTACTGGCATACGTCTTTATTTTTGCACAAAAGGCTCTAGATCTTTCATTGAAATGTGCAAATATTTCTTTTTTAGTTTTAATAGTCCACAGACAATGATAAATGCCACTAGCATTTATGATGGTTTGCAAGTGTATTTTGCAGTTATCAGCATATAGAAAACGATCACAGCCCAATACTGTTATTCAGGTGATTCCAGTTGACAGTGAGGCAGAGAGCTTACTGGCAGTGCTTCAGAGCTCCCCCAAGAGGAGGAATGGCCGTGCCTTTTCATCTCAGTGCTGTAATCACACCAGACTTCAAGAGGAAGATGACGCCCACTCAGTCCGCACTCTTTGCAAACAGTTATCAGAGGATTCTGGGAAAAGAGTACGCATTTCACTCTTTACGTTCCTTTTTTTAGTTTTAGGTTGTTCTACACATATACTCCTGCATTCCACTTGGAGAATGAGCATAAACTCAGTGTAACATCCAAAACAATTACATCCTAGTGCATCTAGTACCATTATTGATATTGAAACATACAAATTATATGTGTGTGTGTGTGTGTGTGTGTGTGTGTATATATATATATATATATACACACACACACACACATATATATATATAAGTTCAACAGATGTGCTTGGTATACATATGTTATATGTGCATTTCTGTGAAGAGTTTTCAGTGGAGGATCAGCAGAGTGGTGGAACCCCAAGCCATCCCACCAAGAGAAAAGGCCTATTGTATTGCAGCAGCCTTGCCTCGTCCCTGCTACAGTTCCCTTGTGGATAATCTGTCCAGCTCCTGCCTGAAGACTGAAGAGCGGCACCCCTTCTTTCAGAATGAGCACAGTACCCAGTGCTGTGCTCAACAGCTCACTCTGCTCCAACAGGTTTAGTATACTTACTTTAGAGAGTGCTAACTTGTCATAGTTACTGTACTGTACTATATATATGCTTACTATAGTATGTATTTTATACTATACTGCCACAGCAGATACTATGTGTACACTGCTTCAAGAGAGAACATATATACCTTCTGCACCATCACGCATTTTAAATATGCAGCCCACTCCATGTCACCTAAGCGTGTTCTAGAAAATTCTTCTTCAGTTTTTATCACTAGAAAGTATTTGTATTCTCTAATACTGAACCTTAATTTAACAGCAAGGTTACACCATTTGTTTTCGATACATAGACCACAATCGTGTCAACAGCATTAGCATGATTGTCTTTAGGTTGTTGTTGTGATTTGGATTTGCCTTGCAGGAAATATTTCAAGGTTGTCATCCTGTTCACTTCCTCAACTCCAGAGCACAGGGGGTCAGGGACAAAGCCATATGTATCACAAAGTGAGTACATGATCTGAACCAAATGACATGCATTTGCATGTAGACTTGGACTTTCTCCTGTGAAACAGTGTCAGAATGCATTAAAAACTCCTCTTCTGTATAACTTGACTGAAATTCATTATGTTGCATATATATAACATTCTTCGAGCACTATAAAAATGTTGCATGAGTGTTAGTTGCCATTGTGTTTCAATAGACCACTGTCACCTGACTCACCGCCAGTAGAGGGCAGCAGCCTCTTTGTTCAAGAAGCAACAGTGCAAGATAAACCCTTGATTCAGCTGCTGAAGCACGATGAGAACGTCAGTAACTGGGTGTCAGCTGAAATTGTCATCTGTGACTCCATTAAGGTACAGCTACTGTGTCATGGAGTCAAATCATTGTTGGGAACCGTTTAGATTGTATAAAGACTGTGTTTTGTTTATATGTTCTAGGCACAAGCTGGTTTGCTTTCAAAATTTCTTATGATGGCCAAGTATTGTTACGAATCAAGAAATTTTGCCACAGCCATACAGATTCTTGGAGGACTAGAGAATGTCATTGTGAGACAACTACCAGTAAGTCCACTTAAATGTAATCTTCAGAAAACATGTGTCCTTTGTACTAGTACAAATGTCTAATAAGCAGGGGTGTACAGGGGGGCGCACTGGCCCCAGCTGACCCAAAGTGACCCTCTCACCCAATCACTTACCGATTATTTTTCCTACCAGGCATGGAAACATCTCTCTGCTAAAGTATGTGAGGTCCTGGAGGAGCTGAAAGCAGTGCAGGTACAGTGCAGCTCGTCTAGTGGTTCTTAGGCAGCTGTCAAAAGGACTGTGATGTGCAAATTTGGAACTTTATTTTTGTTTTCAAGCAAAATACAGAAAAAAATTCGAGAATTTCTAACGGCTGTTTAATTTCCTGTTGCCTACATCCTTGGCAGAACCTGAACATTCCTTGCAATCATTTTATTATCATCTACAGATTTTCCATAACACAACTTATAATTAATTCATAGGAAACAAAAAACAGTCACAAAAGCCATCCATCAGTTTAAGTATCCTTATACTGACATGTAATTTAACCTGTGTTATTAAATAGGCTTCCAATTCAAATGAAAATAGTATTCTTTGGTAATGCAAGTGTTTTTTTCTAAATGTTGAGCATCTTGTGATGTATAACTTCAGATTTTTTTTTAAATCACCAATCATTACCAATTACCAATTATGAAGTACATATTACGTAATGATATACATTAGTAAACATTTACATACACCATCTTAATGCTTCTTTGAATCTAAAGTTGCATGAAGGGATATTCATTTGTGTTACTTAAAATGTGTTACAAAAATCCTGATTGATGTGAAGTAGTATACAGATAATTTATATAGCATAATTTCATGTTAAAGCACTATTTACCTATTTAAAGGTTGTCTTTAGTTTTGTGTATATGTGCGTAGATTTTATACCTTTTAGGAAATATTTATACATAGAGCGTTTTATGTATCAAGCTGATTAAAACAAACTATATTTTATCACAAATACTTCTGCAGGTTTTCCTAAAGAGTGATAACCTGTGTCTTATGGAGGGGGAGCAGTTCAAGAGGCAACCCACCCTCCCAGCAGCTCTGATACTGGCCATGCATGTCCAGCAGCTGGAGATTGGGGCTTTCACACTCGCCAGTGGAGCCTACAAGTGGCCAAAGCTAAGGTAGATCTCAGTGCAAAGTATCTCAGCCCTTCTACTATGCATATTATAAGCTCTGTAAACATATAAATAAAGGTGTGAAGTTTTTGTAACATTATTCACTAGGAGAAACTTGATCTTTTAAGGGGAATAATCAATCAGTCCCTTAAATTTGAACATCTACGGCTATACTCATTTCGGTTTCTTGATTATAAATGTTCCATTAATGTTTAAATACATGTTCCAACTGGTAATTCAATAAATGGTTTAGATTCCACACAATATAAATGATACATGTACAGCTGTCTAAATAAACGGGAATTCCGTACTTCAGGAGATGTTACATCTGGTAAATGTACGTTTGACTAACAGTCTGCATTTCAAAAAACATTGCTGTTATAAGTATCCTTTTCATCAAAGCACTGTAAAAGAACAGAATACAATGGAGATATGAATATATTTGCAGTTTCGATACATGGGTATATTTGCAAGTGATTTTACAGAGTTTGAGGTTATATATTGTCAGAATTGAAAAGCAGCTGAAGAACATAAGCTGAATTTCCTGCAGCCGCCACAACTCCCAAACCATACAAGACCATACAAGAAGTGCACTGCTGAATGTAGATAAGACAGGCTTTTATCTCTCATTTTAGTAATGCATTGATAATAGATAATGGTGGAATAGAAAATTGATTGTTATTTTTAATGGAGTATTCTTATGATTTATTTTGATATCACGTTATGTACAAGTAGCATAAACGTGCATTTAATGAACAGTAACCATTACTTAACAGTGTATTCATCATACATTGCATTGTGATTTAGGCTTTGCTATATTGTCCTGTAAGCAGCCGCTAATCTCCTAAATTATCTTCCTGATTAAGAAAGTTTGTCTGTCTGTCTGTCTATCAGTCATACTACCATACTAAGGCCATTTGTTAATAACAGAGACTGGTTATTGTCTTGGTAGGTGACCTAAACAAGCATATCACTAGTATCACTAGCTTGAAAAAATATGAATATAATAGGAATATTCTGGCATCTTGTACCCATGCTTCAGCCCCCACCTCCCTAGTTTTCAGTTTTCCTCCAGGGTATTTCAGAAGTTTTCTTTCATTATATGTGTTCTGTAATCACTAGAATCTTCTGTGAGTAATTGTTCTGTGAGTAAAGGTTGTTACCATGCCCTAGTAATAATACAGTCATTTAGGAAAAGTAGTGCTGGAGTATTTATGTGCAGTATTACCCACAATGTAGCAGAGGTGGTAGGATTTTCATCTGAATTGAATTTATGAGTATATTCTGTAAATAATTTCCAAAATGAAATAATATTTCTAATTTCCAAAAATTGATTTTTAATGAAAATGGTGGCAAAATGTGCATTGGGTGACATATCCTTTTCTGTATTTGTTGAAGGAACATAGCAAAGGTTGTGAGCCAGATCCATGCCTTCCAGGAGAACAAGTTCACGTATGTCCCTGACCGAGAGCTGCAGACCTACCTGCGGCAGCGCATCGCCTACCTGAGTGACTGTGACATTGCGCTTCTGGCTGCCGAGAATGACACCAACTTCCAGCAAATCCTTGCCGAACGTCACTCTAAGAGGATACAAGACACGCTGCGTAAAGTGAAGGCCACTTTTCAGTGACATTTCCTCAAAGGCACCACATACCATGTCTTATTCTGGCTGCAGGTATACATGGCGAATGCAGTGGCTAATATAGACATATTTCCTTAAGTTCATGTTAAGAAATGTACCATATTGTAAAACACTGGAAAACTGTATTGAGATCCATAGTTTACACCAAAGGTTGCCAGCCTAGAGGAATTCCAGGTGTTGGAGGAAAGGGACATTTAATAGTATGCGTTTAGCATGTTTATATATGTTATAAAAGACCAGGAATTGTTAGGAAACCACAACCACATGCCGAGTTTATTCATTTCAGTAATTTTGGATTCGTATATCAATATTATGCATAACAGTGCTAAAAGAAAATGACTCCCTGATTTTTACTGGACACTTCTGTCACCTTTAACATAACCTTGATGAAATCTGAATGCCAGATAGTGCTGAAAAAGAAATCAGATCAAAATGAATTATAACACATTAGTTAGTGTGTAGATATGATTATATTTCCAAATTAAGCATCCATGGTCTCAACCAAAAAAATAATAAGAAGAAGAATAAAAAGAGGAAATAAATTCCATTTCGTAATTCTTTATGGTAAGGTTTAAAAAGGCTTACATTTCTGTACAATGTAAAAGTTCTGTTTTTGTCACTAAAAAAACTAAAATATCTGGTATTAACTTATACCATATGTATTTGATTTATAATTGAACTAATGTTCCTATCTATTGCAACTATATCTGTCTTAAAAGTGTAATTCAGTTTGAAGGAAACAGAATGTAATTTTAAGTGCTTAATTTTCTATTTGTAGGAAAAGGTTTAGCCGAATTGTTTGTTTTGGATTTAGTTTGTTTTTGGAAGATTTAAACCACGTTATTAAGCTTTTTATTAAGATGTCTATTTTACGTCTTCATTAGCATCTCTTCATTATTCCATCGGTTGGTTTATAGGTTATTTTGGTTAAATGTAACAAATGTAACATAACATAAATGTTATAGGAATTTCTTATTGAAAAAAAATCAGTACAGTACATTCTTTATACATACTAGTACTGTACCATAATTGTTTTAATCTTTACGTATAATGTCCGTTTTTAAGACTATGTATAATTCTTCTACTGGGCCTGCAAATGGTACTTTGATGTTTCATTTTCTCACGACTTCAAAAACAACTGGACGGCATTGGAGGTTACTACTTGTAATCATAATATAAATTTTGTGGGAGTTTGGCTGCATTACTCGTTATTGTTTATTTAACTTTTTATAGTTGTATCCCAATATGATTAGAAGACACGGGCTTGTTTTTTCGCGGGTTCGTATGGAACACATGCTTTTTTGTTCGGTTGCTTAGGTCATTGCCAAAGAATTGCAAAGCTTCGCAGCGACAGTCTATGAAAAAGCTTATGCAGCATCGTCGCGAGGCAATAAGCGTCCCTGGAAGAGGCGCCTTCCAAAGCGCAAACAAGGCAAAAAACTCAAGACTTTTAAATCAATATGTCATTGATAAAAGAAATATTCAACAACCATTATACTGTATGTATTGTTTAGCTTAAACGACCTTTTATTGCCATTCTTGGTTGCTGGCCGAAACAGTGTTACAGACAGGTATTTAAGGTCCACAATAATAAAGTTTCCCTTTCGCAAAGTTACCAAAATCTACTTATTTTGTGAGAAATTAAGATTAATCTAAACTGCACAGTTAAAAAAACGATTGCATTACACTAAATGTAATTGTGCAGCTACTGTAATGCCTTTGATCTCTGTAATATGTACATAATTAGCCGGGCCTGGAATCTTGCGTCCTATCCCTGCTTCCCCGGTCCGTGCCTCGGCAATACGTAACAGGAACGCTAATGCTTACATAAATATTAGAAAGTAGTTAATTTACTACTTTGTAATAGTAAGTACACGTCAACGTAAATTCAACGCACACAAATTATACATTTCTTGAAAGGTGCTAATGTTTACGTACATAGAAAATGCGTCCCGGGTTTCCCTCTCGAGACGCATTTGCTATAAACACTGAAATGGTTCTTTTACTAATTTTACCTTATTGTGAATGCAAAAGAAAACGGCAGCCAATGTTAGGGGTAACATTAGTATACTGTACTGTAAATGTGCTAGTGTGACAAATATCTGTTAGGCGATACTGTACTCTATTTTACATGAAACTTTTGTTTTTTTTAAAGTATAATGTATATGTGGTGGCTTGATGGTTAGGGTAGTGCACTTGTAATTGAAAGATTGCAGGTTCGAATCCCCCACCAGCAAGTCACCACTGAGGTACCCTGAGCAAGGTACCGTCCCCAAGCACTGCTCCCCGGGCACTGAATTAGCTGCCCCCTGCTATGTCACGAAAGTCACATATGGGTCAAATGCAGAGGTCACATTTCGTTGTTGCGCACTGTGTGCTGTGGTGTGTTGACACTGATCACTAAATTCTAATTCTAATATTAATTAAGCTAACTTTTAAATTAAATTAAAGTGTTTTGGGAGCATATTTAGGGTTTAAACTACAGAAATAAGGACATATTACCATTTTTAGTGACTCTACCAATCCTCCTCACTCGCGACAGGTTCTGGAACGAAGCCTGGCGAATGTCCGAGGTCTGACTGTATTTTTACACCCGTTTATTACACCCGTACAACTACAACCCACACACCAGCACTGCTCACCGTACTCATCGCCCCGTTACTCCTCATACACACGGTGGGCGCACGCACACATACACTACGTACAACAATAAACATTAATATACATGACATAACACACAGCACATTTACAACGACACAAGCGATTACCGCGAACTATTTACAAAGCTGGCCTCGGTCCAACCTGCCCCGCTGCCCGCCGGTACCTCCACGCTACAAGAGCATCTGGCTGCAGATCTCCACCAGGAGGAGCTCCCACTACAGGGACGGAAACACGTGACTCCACAAGTGAGTCCGGACATGACGTTATGCAAACTTTTTGGGTTATAACGCAAAGGTTTTGGGTTATATCGCAGAGGTTTTGGGTTATAATAAAAAATATATATATATAAAAAAAAAAAAATTATATATAAAAAAGTTTTTTTTTTCTTCTGCCATTTTTTTTTTCATCCTTTGTCCCCTTAAGGGCTCCGTACCTTAGGGGCTCCGTAGGAATCTAACACGACAGCTGGGAGTAATAAATTAGGGGGCAGGGACAGGAGGTGAGACAAACAGACTCCAGGCACGTTAGGGCTCTGTAGGGCCATGGCTGGGAGGAGATCCAGGGCCAATGCTGACAGGAGGGGCAGGGTGTGATGCTTATATGAACTGTAGGTATTTTTTAATATGGCAGTCCCTGGAGCAATTGTAGTTATTGGCCAAATGGTGAGATCACTCTACTGATCATGGGATTTGAGACAGCAACATTATGATTCCTAACCCACAAAGCTGCCCCACCCTGCCCAACATTTTTTTTAATTCTTTTTTGGTCAGTGCATAAGCCATATCCCTGCTGAAACTAAACAGCATAGACCAGCATGATTTGGTACTGGTGTAGCTGGTGGACCACCATAGCTGTGCTGGTCTACCTGCACATGAAGCTGCTCCACCAGCAATATTTTACTAATGATGCTGGTCCACCAGCACCAAAACACAACATATGCTGGTGTAACCAGCACGCTTTATACTGGTCATGCTGGTAACCTGCTATGCTGGCCTATGATGTTTTTTTTTCAACAGGGATATGTTATATTAAGATTTTGATGTCTTATATGTTACATTGGCCGGCATCCCCTGGATTTCCCGAAAATATCACAAAAACGAAACAATAATCATGATTTACAGTTTTCCTGTTTGGTTTTAAAACAGAAATACAAAACATGAAGCCTATTTTTTCTTTTTCTGATTTTCCTTTTCCAGTTCTGATTTTGAAACAGAAAAAACAGAAAACGCCGCTGTTTTTTGTTTTTTTCCGATTTGGTTTCATTCACACAGACAACTGTGAATATTACAAAGCCTGGAGAGAGCAGACACAGTCTGCTCCTGTCTGCTACTGTAGGTGCATTGCATCGGACCATCAAAGCACCAGCAGAAGCGGAGGCTCCGGCTACTGGCAATTGTTTGGAAAGAACTCAGAATCAAGAGAAGTAAAGTAAGAATTGTCATAAAGTCAAAATTCCGAGAAATGAAGTAAGAATTGTGGGAAATCAAGTCGCAAATTCCTGAAATAAATCTGAAATAGCTAGAAATATAGACTGAATACTGAGAAATAAAGTCGAACTTCCCTATATGTATTACAAAGAAATTTAGCATTACAGTGAACCCCCGCCTATCGCGGAAGATGCGTTCCAGACGCATCAACGATAGGTGAAAATCCGCAATATAAAAAGACCATATAAATATATTTTTTTAAATAGTTTAAGCCTTAAAGTACCCATCCCACACGCTTTAAACAACATGTAAACTTATTAAAACAACATACTGTACACAGATTTTCTTTGGTGTTTGGGCTGTGGGAAAGTGCTGTTTTATTCTGATTTCAAGATAAATAAAATAAAAACTTCATGTATTAAGTTGTGTGATGTTTTAGTGTTTATAGTAATAATGACCATGAATCAAATATTGATACATAAGTATATGACTTCATAGTTAAATTAAGCCTTTCAGAGAATTAACAGGAAATGAACCAGTGGGCAACAATATCAAGATGGCCTTCTTGTTATTTATGGCAAATGAATCACACGTTCTGCACACACAAACACACATATATACAAATATGCATAGTCCCCGTATTCATATCTTTACAGGGACTCTCCGTTCATTTCTATGGGCATAACCCAAATCCCAACTATGGCAACTTTAACTCCTACCCAGCCCTAACCTTAACCATAAACACCCAAACAAAATATAAGAATTTTAGCATTTTTTGTTTTTGAATCCATTATAGATTTTTATAAAACTGAGGTTATCCTTGTGGGGATCACAAAAAGTCCCCACAAGGTAAAAAGCTACAGTAAATCTGGTCCCCATAATGTAATATTTACAAAATGTACACAGACACAATGTATAAATATAATACCAAGCAGATTGCAATGTCCAGGAGATTGAAAGTCAGTAAGATACACAATATGGGTTGAGTGTCTTTCAAGTATCAACTAAAACTAATATGAGTGAAATCAAGATTGTCATTACAAGCAGTTATCGTGTGGAGCGAGACGGACGACGCGGGAGCAGACGGGAAGAGCAAACAAAAGGAACTTTATTAAACTAAAAAGGGTAAAATAGCAAACCAACAGAATCACAAGGGATCCAAAGGGGTAAAACAGAGAGGCAGTGATGGGTCATATAATAGTGTAGAGGCTGGAGGAATAGGGGTGTCTAGATGAAGTCCCTGAGGACTAGCGGCAGCCACCGGCACCCCCTGTCCAGCCCGTGGAAGCTGGTCATTACCAGCATAGACTAAAGTAAGACTAAGGAACTGATAGCGGACTGCAGGAAGCAGAAAGGAGCACACATCCCCATCACCATCAATGGCACTGCTGTGGAGAGGGCGAGCAGCTTCCGTTTCCTCGGGGGGCACTTGGCAGAGGACCTCACACGGACAGAACAGTAAAGAAGGCGCATCAGTGTCTCTTCTTTCTCAGGAGACTGAAGAGGTTTGGAATGAGCCCCCGCATCCTCACTGGATGCCGCACCGCCTGGTACGGCAACAGCACCGCCTACAACCGCAAAGCTCTGCAGAGAGTGGTGCGGCGTTCTGAGAGGATTATAGGTGAGCTTCCCCCCATCCAGGACACCTACATCAAGAGGTACCTGAGGAAAGCGGGGAAGGTCAGCAAAGACCCCAGTCACCCCAGCCAGGCAGACAGTGCAGCATCCAGTCCCGGACCAGCAGACTGAGGGACAGTTTCTTCCATCAGGTCATCAGACTGCTGAACTCTGACCATTAACCATGGGCACAGACACTCAGCCATTTACCACACATTGCACATGGTGCTCTTCTGCACATTATTTAACTGTACATTTTTGTTGCACCTGTATTATACTTGTATACTGGTGACAAGTGAAGTTACAATAAAAGTGATTTGATTTGACTGGCAGATCTGTATTACCCTATTGTATACATCAGAGTTCTCAGCCAGATAAGCAGGAGAAAAAATATTTCTGAATTTTGATTCTCTTTGTCCACGTGAACAGCTCTCAACATGACTGACATGAGCGGTCAGCTGAAGCAAAATTAAACACATACATTGGCTGCCCTTTCTGCCTTTCTCTTTATTTCCACCAGGGGATAGGTTACACCAAGAATCCTGATTTGTGTTTCTTTGGTTCGTGTTATGAGGCTGTAATTCAGCAGCAACTACACACCTTGGATCTGTGCCTTTATTTAGCCAGTCTTGCTCTTCACCAGGTCTGACAACAGCACAGCGGGGGGGGGGGGGGGGGGGGGAGTAGTCAGCTATTAGCCCCAGATTCCCATTAGCCCCTTGCTTTCCTGTTCCTACCCCCTGGAAAACCTCATGCATAGACCCTGTATGGGAGAACACAGGGGAAGCCTTCTAATTACATGGGTAGTACATGCAAACTCCATGCACCTGGAACCCTGGTGGAGACCTGAGCCCCAGTCCCAGGGTTGGCAGGCAAGTGTGCTGACCACTGCACCATCATGCCGCCCCACTCAGTAATATATAATGAAGCTAAACCATGTTTTATGTACCTGTAATTGTAATAATTGCTGAACTGACATCTAAAGCCTCAACAGAATTCACTCGCAGAAACTGAGCACTACACCAGGACTGGTTTCTGCAAGAAAGGCAAATGGAAGCCCTTCTTGCTAAATACTTGCATCAAATTATGCCAGAGGCTCCACAAATATGAAATCAGTATGTTGTTTGGAATGAGAGTGAAGCGTTACGCTTTGTGCAAATCAAACACACCCCATTGTTCATTGCCTGAGGGAGAGCATACTAACCTTCAACAGGCAGGAACTCAGGGTTGTTCACCAACATTCTTGGGCAAGCTGAAGCAAAGCAGCACTTTGGACCCAGGGAAAAGTCCCAAAGGGTCATGCAGATGTGTGTGGTACATTGTGATTCAAAAATTTGCCCTATGATAGCTGAGGCTAATTGGGGTTACTAAAATTGCCCATAGGTGTGCATGTGTAAGTGAATGGTGTGTGAGTGCCCTGCGATGGGCTGGCCCCCCATCCTGGGTTGTTCCCCGCCTCGTGCCCATAGCTTCTGGGATAGGCTCCGGACTCCCCGCAACCCAGAAGGATAAGCGGTTTGGAAAATGGATGGATGGATGGATGCCCTATGAAAGTATGATGCAAGAAAAACATTTCAAACCTGTAGAATAAAATGTGATCATTTTCTGTAGGATGAAAACCTGCCGAGCAGCAATGCAAGGATGACAGATGCACAGAGGAACGGTTTATTCATGTAACAAATATCAACAGTATAGACGGTACTCTGCCTGAGTCGTAAAGAAAAAGGAAAATCGCTTATGCTTAGGGGGAGTTTATGAAGAAGATGCAGGCAATTTGGGGGAGATTCTGTTAGAATCAGCCTTTGTCCTGTAACTGTTCATGAGGAGGCAAGTATGAACTGATCTAGGTATCTGTGACAAACATGTGCTGACACTCCTGTTTAAATGGGTTGTAACTCCTTCCTACCTGCCCCTTATCCCACCTCCTTATCCACCCATCCATCTATCTTTCTGCTGCCCTTCCTGGTCATTGCCGCGGGGATAAGGTGAACTTCATTGGACCTGGGGATAAATTCTGGGGCACACAGCAGCAAGCTATGTAAAGTCCAAACAAAGAAACTGTCAAGACGGGCAAAAGTGTTTGTGGTGGAGATGCTGATTTAAACCCGGAGACGATCTCAGTAGGGTGCCAATTACCCTAACCCTAACCCTAACCTTAACCCCACCCAGGTGGATTCGTTAGCCAGTAGTTTATTATCCCAAATGAAGCAATACAGATTACAAACCTACAGACTGCAGACACTTCCAATCGGCACTCTACAAGTGAAGAACGAACAAGTGCCAAAACCAACTGAAATTATCAACCAGGGGGGTTAAGTTCACTTCCCACGTGACATATCAAGAAATCTCACAATCCCGCATACAGAGATGCAAATATAAATCAAAGAAAGGAACCCAGGAGAGCTGGCAATTTTAACAGAAACATACTGTGCAAAACAAGACAAAGCGCAAAGACAAAAGGGAGGATAAATTCTAACAGGCTGCCATATTTTGAGACAAAAATGCTTACCTAAATACATGGAAAATGTGACTTGCATATAAAACAAGAACATTAACATGAAAGTCATCTTTTACGTATGTGGATGTTCATCAGAGTGTGTTAAGCAGCAAGCTGCACAGGCATGGTGGGCGTGTGAACACGTGCGGGGAAATCGGGGGCAGGTGGGTGAAGGCACCAAATAAAAGCTGATCACAACAGCAGCTACTTAACGATCAGAAAATCAGGCAAGAAGCAAGCATCTGCAAGTATATGATCTACTTCCTGTCAGGTATTTGACTCTTTACTATATCTTTCTGCATTTCTGATATATAAACTCTTCAGATTTAAGATTCACACACACAATTACATTAGTGACTCACCAAGCTGATGCTGTCACAAATATAATATAGAAAATAATGTATAAAGATGGTAAAATAATATACGAGAGAGATAAACTACATGCAGAATAAGCAAACAAAAAAAATATAAAAGAAGTTGATTATGGTTACAGTTGTTTTCCTGTGATATACTTGGCTTTCTTGATGATTCGCTGTGGATCTCCATGGTTACCCTTTGTGCAGCTAACGTATCAAGCTGTGATGTACTTCGTCAAAAGGCTCTCTGTAGCAGGGTGGATTTTTGGGGTAGGACTTGTTATATATTTTTTTACACATCTCTTTAGCAGACCTATAGAAACTGACCAGATGATTCTGGAGTATGTTTGTTGCTCTAAGGAGCCTCAAATAGTTGTAGTACAACTGTTAAAAAGTTGAGTTAAAGATGAAGTACAAAGATACATACCTTGACAAAATAAACATTGAAATGAAATTTTAAAAGGCAGCTTATTGGCAGTTAATGTTTAGTATTTACCTGGAAAACAAATGATAAAAACATAACATTTACAGGAGGTTTGCACAGAATGCTATGGATCAGGGGTCACCAACCTTTTTGAAACTGAGCTACTTCACGGGTACTGAGCCATTCGAAGGGCTACCAGTTTGAAACGCCCTCCTCAACTTATCTAAACTTCATGTATGATAAACATGTTTTAAATGCTTTTTTCAGATATTGCCATTTTCAAATCTATATAAATGCAAATCTGATTAAAGAAGAATAGCAACAGGATAAAATTAAATTTTAGATGCTGCGCACTGGTGAGTTGTGCTATTTTTATAACAGGTCCGTGGGGGCATCCTGGTGCCTGCGGGCACCATGTTGGTGACCCCTGCTATAGATAATTTTTATCCATACTGTATGTACAGAAATTAGGAACTGTTTATAAGTGTATAAATTTAAGTTGTAACTTTTGAATTCTCTTCCAAATTCTTGATCTGTTTCTTTGAAAAGCATTGTTAGGACTGGCGGGCGGGCGAGTAGGGAAGCAGGCGAGATAAGCCAGATGACCGGGTAAACAGGGTTTAATCAGACTTGGAAGGCAGACACTCACGAAACGCATAACAATACAATGACGGATCTGGGGAAGACTGACTCAGACGAGGACTAAATACAAAAGACGAGCTAGACATAACAGGACACAGGTGATCACAATCAGGGCTGAACACGAGGTAACGAGGTGGGCGTGGCACACATCAGGAGCGGACGGAGCAGGGTGTGACAAGCATCGTATTGTATATTTATGTACTATATATATATATCTCCAGCTTTATGTGGTTCAGTAATAAAGTCGCTTCACCTTTAATTAGTATTTGTCCTATGAGAGGGTGAATATGTCCTATTTATATTTGTAAATACATATAATGTGTTTATGGGTAAAAAGGCCAGTATGGAGGAGAAACAAGTAATTAATTCAAAAACAACAACCACATATAGTCCTTCAATTAGGAAGGAAACGTAACTACATCAAATAAAGATCTTTTTTCAAATCTGATGTGTGTCACACATCAGATTTGAACAATGCTAGAATTTTGATCTAAAATCCATAAAATAGATAATGAAGTCTCATTAACAATTATTATAAAATGCAATTAACTAAGCACAAATTATTCACATTTTTATCAGTTTATGTGATTAATCACAATTAAGGCAACTGACAGACCTAGTTTTAATATAAAAATTAGTTTAAATATCAGCCAGCAATATCGGTCAATGTGGACACATCAGACTAATACTGATAACTGGATTTTTAATGAATATTGGCTGACACCGATATGTATCATGCATCTCTAGAACCCGTCTCTGTTTCCTTTCAGGAAAGAAGACAATGGCAGACATAGTGAAAGCTACACAATCAATTTCCAGGGCTGGGGATTTCAGCGATGACACCAAAATAATAATGCAGCCATATGCTAACTGGGAGGAGTACTTGGTACCTGGCCCAGTCTCCGTAGCCATTCTGGGGGAGCTGATATTTATCTCTTCCAATGTAGATTTCTCCATTGGCCAAAAGCCTCCACAAGGTGGCTTTAAGTACATCAAGTACCCAGATTCATTCCGTGCCTGTCTTATGCAAGTTGCTAATTCCGGATGGGCGGCATTCAATGAGGCTCACAAAAACATGGACCAGATTCGTCTCCACACTGCCAATGTGCCAACTTACATCAAGACTTCGGTCAATGTTTTAGTGCAAGACAATGATGAGCTGGTCCAAACCGTCCTCCCTGACCAACTGGAGAACATAGCTACTATATCAAATGATTGTGCAAGATTGGCTGAGCAAACTGAGGGAAAGTTCTCCTTTGTTATTTATCTGATCCAAGAACTTTTAGAAGCTTGTGTAGGTGCAAAGAAGGTATATGGTGATGAGCTGGAGAATGTCAAGCGCAAAATTGAGGAGACAAAAATGATGAAGGAGTATTCAGAGCAAGCCAATGAAAGGGCACAGAAAATTCAGAAAAATATTTGAATTTATTGTCTTTCTAAGGAGGCAGATCTGAACTGATGAAGTTGAAAGGAAATAAAACATGGCCCAAAATGAACATGTGTTCCAAACAGGTGTTCCAATCACATAGCCTCAGTTGTATAAAATCAAGCACCTAGGCATGCAGACTGCTTCTACAAACATTTGCGAAAGAATGGGTCGCTCTCTGGAGCCAAGTGAAGTCAAGCGTGGTACCGCGATAGGATGCCTCATGTGCAATAAGTCCATTTGTGAAATTTCCTCACTACTAGTTCAGCCCCATTGCAGTTAAAGTCTCGAGATGCTTATAACAAATTCATACATTTCTTGACAACTTACTAGTAGATGTTCAACACAGAAAACAGTATGCTGAAAAGAGGCCTGCCTGGTTTTTACTGTTGTGCCCCAGGCCTGCTGAAACAGCCCAGGGGCCCCCTGACCAAGCTCATGTGCCTCTGCCTGCAGTTCAGACTTGCCTTCTCAGATAACAATTTCCTGGAAACCTTTTTTTTCTACTTTGTTGACAACCTGTTTGGCTTTTTTCTGCCAAAATGGCATTATGCTGTATCAGATCATTATTTTGATAATGAGTTACATCAGTTCAGACTCGCCTGGCACTTATTTGTTAGAATCGAGTTATATTCTTTTTCACAATACAAATGACTAATAAAGATTTTCATTTCCAATTAAGCATTTGAATCGAAGGATTTAAGAATTTCATGTACTAGAATTAATATGTATGTGTGTGTGTGTCCATGTGTGTCTATATATACTATATATATAAAGTAAAAACTAAAATATGAACATGAAAGCTTATAAGATCATATATAAGAGATGATTTTGGTTAAATATTAGTTTGTTGATTTTATGAGCATTGGAAAAGATTGTATGAGTAAACGGAAATACAGTTTAAGTATGAATGTTATGTTTAAAACTTCAGATGACTCTGCCTGCAACTCTGCAGGTGGAATTTTATACCATTAAAATCACTGGTGTAATAAAAGTAGATAAATGGTTGCAACTGCTCAGCAATCAATTTTGCTTTATGTATTTAGATAACTGAATATTCTTGGCAATAAAATCATGAAATAAATCTGGATCAAAATGTTCTGCTGAAACATAATTTGCCACATTTATACCCATGACTATGTATGAATTACATTTTGGAAATAATTGCTCATGATCCAAATTTTTTTTCCATGAAATTTATAATAGGGATTCCATCAAACATTTTCACTATAACATCACTTTATCACGACTATTTCCAAGGTGATAATATCAAACGGTCCAGGCCATTTTATGGCAACTGAAACTTGTTTGAACTGATTTCACTTCAGTAATGTCAGAAAAAAAGAAAGCTGTCCTTCCAACTGCAGCAGAGGCCAGAAAGTTCTGGAGATCATGTGCTTGATTATGCCTTTATTGTAATTGCACAAGGTACAACAAATGTCTGAAATCTGTCCATAATTTCTCTGTTCATTACTGTGCCAAATACCTTTGGAAACAGCCTGTAGGTGTGATGATGAATTTGTTGCCTTCCTGAGGAGAACTGGATGAGTTATTTATAACAGAAATGTGCTGACACTTCAAAAGAAGTTTGTTTCTTTCCAGTAAATACCCACCTAGAAGTTTAGCTTTGAACACTGCCTATTTATGAAACATGCATTATTATACAAAAATTATATTTTACTGTACCTGAAAGCTTGTACCTGTAACCTGACTTGTGGATCAATGACTTGAAAGTTCTGGATCTCTGCTTAACAACAACCATGTTATTGATCTGGAATAGTTGACATAATATTACACATCTCTTTTGCAATGAAAGCAATCTAGAAATTTTCGAAGCAATCCTGCACTTATTTTACTGAACCTAGCATGATGTACAGTACTTCAGTCCTTAAACTGCGCACATTGCACCAGGTCAGGTCAGGTTGGGGAGCATGTGCTGATACAGCAAGTTTCCGCACCTACCACAGGGTGAAACTCCTTGGGATCCCGACTGGCGACCCACCAGGCAGACACACGGTCCAGTCCTACCCTCCGGAAATGGACATCCATCTGCCGCAGCCAGGTGTTAGGTGGGCGTCCCCTCGGCCTGGTCCAGCCACTTGGGTCCTCAGCAATGAGGATCTTGCAAGCCGGATCACCCTCAGGGAAACGAAGAAGTCATTAAATGCCTGGATCTTGGTCTTTGTCCAGGACACCCGCAATCCCAGACACTCAGACTCCTCATTCAGTCTCTCAGGAGCCCCGATCAGAGCCTCCATTGACTCTGCTAAGATGAGGGCATCGTCAGCAAAGTCGAGATCAGTAGATCTTTCTTCACCACCAGATGCCCCACAACTGCTGGACCCCACGACCCTGCCCAACACCCAGTCCATACAAGCATTGAACAGAGTAGGAGCAAAAACACACCCCTGGCGAACCCCAGAATCAACTGGAAAGAACACAGAGGTTCTCCATCCACTCTGCACAGCACTCACATTACCAGTGCACAGGCTGGCCATGACGTCCAGCAACTTCGGGGGGGATCCCGCGCAGTCTCAGGATGACCCACAGGGCAACTCAATCAACTGAGTCAAACGCTTTACGAAAATCGACAAAGGCGGCAAAGAACCTCTGCGGACATTCGCACACATAAATTATGTGAGGGGGAAGTTGGCACGGGGCATGGCGATCCTGGGGAAAGCAAGGCATATTGTCAGCCAAAAAGCACGTTATACATTATACTGCTCTTTATTACAACCATATCTCAGTTATTGTGTAGCGGTCTGGGGAAATACATATAAAAGTAGAATAAGTACAATAACCATAATGCAGAAAAGGGCCATTAGAATGATAAACAATGTAGGATATAGGGACCACACTAATGAACTCCTTATAAAAATGAAAATAATGAAATCCCCAGACTTGGTTGAATTTAAAACAGCGCAAATAATTTATAAAGTAAGAAATAACTTACTTCCAAAAGGAATACAGAAATTATTTACAGAGAGAGAAGGGGAATATAGTTTAAGAGGAAGTCTGAATTTAAAAAGGCAAAGTGTTAGAACAACGTTAAAAAGTATGTGTATCTGAAGAGCTGGGGTGAAATTACGGAAAAGTCTAACAGAAGCATTAAAAAAAGGTAAAAATATAACTCAGTTTAAAATGAACTATAAAAAACAAATTTTAAATAAATATAAGGATCTGAAACATGGATTAAACCAGGGAGGTAATTGATGAAGGAATAGAGCTGTCATTTTATTTTATTTATTTGTTTTGTTTCGTTATTAGAAATTTGTGATTTGACCTTTTTGGTAGAATAGTTGGTTTTGTTGCAAGGTCTATTTATTTAGCTGTTGTTGTAATTTGAAGGAGGTTAATTTTGAAGTAAAATGGTATGAATGGGGTAGGACCAAATAAGTTTATACTTCTACCTACTCCTTTTCAGGCAAGGTGTAATGTTATGACGGAGAATGTGGAAATGTTTTTTTTTAATTATTTGTTGTTTGTTTGAAATAAATAAAGATTGATTGATTGATTGATTGACATTTCTTGACACGTGAACTTACTAGTAGATGTTCAATACATAGCATGTCCTTAAGTCCCTAAACTGCACACATTGTGTGGTAGAAAATTATAAATCCCCTCTAAGAAATAAAACTCCGAACCTCTCAGTTGGTGAGTAAAGTTATCTCCTTTATTCGAGCAATCCAGCAAAGTGCTCCTGTCACACTCCGGCACCTGGCACTACCCCGAGCACCTGGAGCATCCAGTTGATAAACCATAAATCTCAGTTCCAAATAAGGACTTCTAAGTCCTGATTGCTCACAAAACATCTACAAACCAAGCTCAAATGTATAACAAACACAATTCTCTCGCTCTGTTGGTTCACCTTGGCAGCAAGGTAAAATCCACCCATTTTGCTCAATTTACCAGAATATGCTAGGCTCCTACTTGAGATATGAATATAGATATTGATTATATTGACATTGACTTACTGTAAATATTTGGTTGTCCTTTGATTAATGATCAACGTATTGTCATTGAACCATGTTAAATACATGGTTAACATATGATTAACATGATTAATGTAAAAGTTACTTATACATTTGTACTACCACATAACATATTGCGTATGGCCTACTGCGACTACTTTATAACCACTGGTCTTTGTGCACCAGTTGGGGCAGCATCGAATCTCTTTCTGCAGGTGGTTTCTCGCCCCCTTACTCCGCTGTCCATCTCTCCAAGGTCTGATCCCTCTTCAGGGTCTGTGGAACCAACCGCAGGCAGCTATCATAAAGCGAGGACACAGTATTCAAAACAATCTCTTCTCACCTAAGGCCTAAGACAGACCCAATATACCTCCCCTCCCAGGCCTACCTATGTCCAATTTCCTTTCCACAATTGCATTATGGACTTTAATCAACTGAATTCTTTCAGTCACTTTTAAGTCAGATGAAGTTGTACTTTGTAACCTATCATGACTTTTTAAAATTTATTTAATGATTTTTTTTGTTTAACAAGCTGTAGTTGTTCTTTTGCAACCCCCCGGACATCATTAATCTTTTGAAATCATGCTAATTTTGGTGGTTTGATCATGCATTAAACCAGTGAACTCAATAACTCAAAACTGAACTTAAACATTGTGCAAGTAAAAATGGCCATACACTAGTAAACATGCCAGCACCCATCATACTGAACCTCAGAAGTCTGCGTTTGTTTTTGCATTCTTATGAAATATCTGAAGATTTGCTTCAGGCAACTTGCAAAAGCCTGCAAGCCTTTGACGCATATGAAAACCTATGATTGAATCTTGGTAAATTATTTGGCTTGTGGGGCAAGTTTGAACTGGTGTCACCCAGCATAAAATGAATGTGCTGAGACTGCAGATTGTGATTAATGACTGTTTAAACCATTCCTTACCCAAAAATGAAAATATACTGTATACGTCGGAGTGGATCATACAAGCAATATTGGAACCGGCAAGAAAAAAAAACGCTTACATTGACATTCATGCGGTCACGTCGATGCATTGGATCATTTGCCGTTGAATCGATACATTGATACAAATCGATGCATTGTTACACCCCAACTTACAGCATTCATTGTTTCTGGGTAGGAATCTACCAGCATACCACATCTTGACTTGGCAATTTTTGCCCATTTTTGAAGGACAGGATTCGTGCATAGGAGGAGTGAATTAGTACTTTGCTGGAGATTAAACAGATCAAGAGATTTATAGATACAGGTCAATCGGAGCACATATCCAGATTCGATCTGGCAGTTGTTCCTCCTGCCACGACTGCCTCCAGTCCGGCTCTGGCACCAGCAGCCAGCACCTGGGTCACGGTCAGACATGGTCCTAGGAACCCTAAGCTGAGAGCTCCTGCACACCAGTCAGCTGTTGCGCTTAGCAACAGATTCTCTGCTCCCGGCAGTCTGCCGAAGCAGAAAAGGTGCTTGTGATTGAAAACTGTTAGAAACGTTAGAGTTTGCAGGAGTAGAACCAAACCAGATCTGACCTAGTTTAGGGAGTGTCCTGTCAGATGATACTACAGTTGTGACCCGCTGGGCCGGCTTCTTTGAGCAGTTGTTTAAAGGTGACCGTCCAGCTAGGATGTTGGACATCTCTGATGGTTCTTGAGGCTGATCCTCCAATCAGCTGGGAACCACCCAATCTCACTGAGATTGCACGGGTGGTGAATCACATGGTGGTAGGGAAGGCCGCAGGGATCTGTGGTATCTGGGGTGGACTTCTCCAGGCTGGTGGTAAGGCTGTCCTCCTGGCATTACAGGCAATCTTTGCTTCCATTTGGGAGTCAGGCTTCATCCTGACTGAATGGAAAATGGGACTTGTAGTCCCTATCTGGAAAGGGAATAGTGATCGCCTGGATTGCGGGAACTACTTTGCCAATGATACTGTGATCTTAGCTGAGCCAATGGAGGCTCTGATTGAGCGAGGAGTCTGAGTGTCTGGGATTGCGGGTGTCCAGATAAAGACCACCAAGATCCAGACATTTAATAACTTTTTAGGCACAGCCATCAGTAGTGTGTCTTTCTGCGGGGAGAATGTTGACCTTGGCAGCAACATTCATGTCTCTGGTGACTCCTCCTATGAAG